TCTTCGTGACCCAGCTTCTGGTCATGACAAGCTTCTGTCATCACCTACTGCTCTCCTCCTCTGTCACTTTGTTCTGGCTAAGCTGGCTTCCTTGCTTTCACTTGATTGTATTAAACCCCTCTCATCCCTGAGGACCTTTGCTTCCCTGCCAGGAACACTCTTCCCGAGGAACCTTTCCTGGCTTGCCGGCTCAGACAGCACCCTCAGCACCCTGTCTCCCTCACCAGGGGGTTTGTTTTTTCTTCTTTAGTATTTACCAGTTCTGGGTAAATACTTTTATTTGCTCATTTTCTGTCTGCACTAGAATGTACGTTCCTTGAAGCATAATTTTTTAGGAAGTTTATCTATTTTGTTCACTGTTGTATCCTCATGCCCAGAATAACATCTTTAAATAGTGAATACTCAGAAAAACAGCTGTGGAATAAATAGATAAAGTTAATTGGATACAGATTGTTTAGAGATTGATAGATTGGCTGGTGAGAAGGTTGTGTAGTCCCTGGATTGTTTATACCTTCTCAGTGAATTAGAAGCAAGTCTGTGATAGGAGAGTGAAGGAAAGAGGTCATATTGGAGGTTGGAGGGAGAAAGTGAAAAATATTGCATTATAGAGAGAGCTGGAGGTTTGTGGATATAAATTAAAAATGGGACCACTTAATATGATTGTGTGTTTTCTAACCACTGCAGTTCAGGCACAGACATGGAGTAAGAAAAGAATGGAGTTAGCCACGTTAAGGGTTTATTCCTGGCAAATAGCACAGAGGAAGGTAAGAGCAAAGAAATCGGGGGGATATGCAGAGCATTGCTTATACTAATGGGCCATGGAATCTAAGCTGAGTAAGAGCTAAAAATATAGGAAGTAGAAAGCAGAGAGTGTGATGTTAGAAATCAGTGTTTCTGAAGAGGTAAAACTAATGATAATGACGAAGCTTGGGATGTGACCATGGGAATGGGTGACTAAGGAGGAGTGGAAGAAGAGATTGTTGGAATTGAGGGAAAGTTTAAAAAAGAAACTGAGAGACAGGGATGTTCAATGGATCATCCACATGAAAGCTGAAGCTATTAAAATGATAGGATAAGTGGTTGGGGTAAAGTTGCTAAAATATGCTAAGTGTAGGGTGAGTGATAAGGAGATGGGAAGATGACAAGAAGCTGCAGGTTGCATTGCTCGATGGCAGGCATTTCACAGCAGCTGGAGTTTTGGAGGGCCAGAGGAAGAGGAATGGTTTGGACCCAGCAATGAAGAGCCAGGACACTTCCTTCCAGGTCCTGTGAGCACGTTGCCCACTGAGAGAGACCAAGACGAGTCACCACTTTGAGAGACTGTGAAAAACGTAGTCATGAGGTGCTGAGGTTTCTGTCATATCAAGCAGGTAATGAGAATAATCAGACGTGGCTAAAATTCTGTAGTCACTGGAGACACTGGCTTCATGTAGAAAAACCTCAATATTTTTTACGTGTTCCTCTTTTGGTACTTGCATCTTGTAACAGATTTCTGCATGTTGAAAGATTTTAACTTTCAAATCCTTGTAGGCTAAAACTATCATTCCTCAATTTAACAAAGCTCCAGTTGTCAGGTCTTCTCACAAGCACGTCGGTGGCATGCACAGGTTGATGTGCCAGAAATGGGAGGCTAAATTAAGCAGGAGCTTTGCAGACGAAAATGCTTGTGAAGATTTAAAGACATCTGTCTACTTATTTATCCATTAATAACTTTTATATTTTGCCTTCTTCTGCAAAAGGTTTGAGAAGCACAGCTCTATAATTTGCAGCATGCTCTCTGGCCATTATGAAAACTAAAAATGAGTCTAAGAAGCTGGAGGAAGCATAGAGACACAAAACAAGACTTATGGCCTTGAAGCCTGCAAAGAGCATGAGATCAGGCTGAGTGTTTTTGTGGAAATACTGATGTACTTGACTGAATCCTAGAAGCCTAGAGCAGTGGTCTCTTCTCATATGGGTCACCCAACTTGGCCAAGACTATTTGAAGTCCCAAAGTCAAGATCTAGGCCACACGTGGGGTAGTCACGTGGCTCCAGTCTAACAGAAATTCGCTGTTGGAGCTCCTCTTCTTTTCCCCCAGTCCATTAGCACCTCTGTCTCCAGGCATCATTCTCACAGTGCACACACTGCCTTTCCCTTTCTTTCCTGACGTTCTCATTACTTCCTTCTTCACGTATTTTTCGACCCGTCTTCCCTTCTTTTTCTCAGCCCTCTCAGGCTCAGTACAAGAGTGTGCATAGGTTTGAATTTTGGAAAATGTAGCTATTTGGGATTCTGAGAATCCTTTTGAAAGTCTAAAAGTTTGAGAACCAATACTCCAGAAAATTTAACAGCACGTACACTTTTTTACAGGCACAAGAAACATGCACGTCCATGGAGACTTCTACCTTGAGGTTAGATATGTACATGTGAAGAAGAGTATCTCTCTTTCTTTTCTCTTTAAAAATGTGAGACTGAAGAATATGGGTTTGGGGCTTCCAGGCGCCATGTTTTGTGGTATTTGGGGTGTGGGGAGAGAGAGAGAGAGAAAAAACACTACAGTGTTTGAATTAGAACCCCTAGGTTTAGCTGTGTTTGAAGGTAGATTCACTGTGACTCCCCAGTTATATGTGCAAATAAATTGCCTTTTGGCTTCAGCAAGTTTGAGCTGTGTGTGACTTATAACTAAAATGTTTTGATTAATATGCAGTTTGAATTGTGCTGTGGTTTACTGTCTGGGACAGACCAGGAAGCAGTTTCCAGACTTCTTGAGTTCTAGAGCATGGTGTCTGTGTTTCTTTATTTCTTCACTGCGAAAGCCCCAGAGACTTCAACATACGGTCACCAGGTTACTTCTTACCAACTTGTATTTTTGTTCACAGTGAATCTGTCTTGTGTAACTGCCTTATATTGGTTTTCAGGTATTAACTGCACAGATTATATCTTTACTCACTCTTCTTAGTCCAAATTCATAACTGTTGCTACATTGTTATAGGGGAGATTCATGAATATTCTCAGAAGTATGCTGAATTGCACTTATTCCAGTAGAATATACTTTGTTTTGCATTGTGAATTAATTTTAATAATTTAAATTTTCTTTGGCAAACATATGTTAAAACACCCTGAGCCTTCTAATCAACCATATGAATTACCAAAACTTTTGTTATAGTTTAAGAAGCCTTTGCGTGACCATATGGCTACTTAATGTTTTATTATGTACAGCGATGAAACAGAACTCTCGAAAAATCTCTCATTGGAATGAGGATTCTTTAACAATTTCTTATACATGTTTTTCTTCTCACAGAAACTAAAGTTATTTATAAATGGTGACCCCTCTCTTTAAGTAAGGCACTCTAGGTTCTGGCAAAATTATGTTTGCCAGAAAAAATATATATAGTTTTGCATGGTGTGGCTTGGTGGCTTGGTCATCGTCCCGCAAACCAAAAAGTCAACAATTCGATACCCAGTCAGGGCACATGTCTAGGTTGCAGGCCAGATCCCTGGTTGGGGGCAGCCAATCTATGTTTCTCTGCCACATTGATTTTTCTCCCCCTCTCCTTCTCCCTCCCCACTCTCTAAAAATAAATTAAAAGATCATTAAAAATATATATGTTGCAACCAAGCAAAAAACATACAAAGTTTATGAAATTCCCTTGACTATTCTTTCTTTATTTTCAAAGAATATATAATTTTGGTTAATGTTTTTATTAGAGAATAAAAATTAAATGAATGAATGTCATAATCTTGAGAGTATGTTTGGGTATCACCATTGAATCATGATTAGAATTTCTCTCAGGCCCATCCTTGCTTCCTCAGGGGATGTGACTTAAATGGTAGAATTCATTCTCCATTTGCAGCTGTGTCTCTTGATTATGCCCGCTGAGCTTGGCTGTGAATTGCATATAAACCTCTGCATGTTGGTTTCTAAAGCCATGTGAGCTCTGCCAGTGGGAGGATTCTGGACAGCTCAGATGGCAGAGACCACAGTAAGGGTGCAAGTATCACCTATCCATTGCTTTGGTGGATTTTCTTTCTAGTATATGACTTTTAGGATCTAGAACTTTAATCCACTGTGATTAAAAGAGTCAATCATTGGCCTAGAAAAGGGAAGTACTCCTGATTTTTTTAATGTCCTCAAGTAAATGGCTACTGTTTTAAACCTAGAGATCAAGTGGCAAACCAGCTAGGATTCCTTAATGACAAGTAACAGAAAAGTAACTCTGGATAACTTACATAGGAAAGGAATTTTAGTGGGTCATATAATATGAAAGTTCAAAGGACAGACTAGCTTATGCTTAACTGAATCCAGTGGATTATATTATATCGCCAGTACTCATTTCTCATCTCTCAGAAATGATTTTTTTTCCTGTTTTGACTTTGTTTCCAGTTAAGTGGTTTCCTTATGGTATCAAAATTGGTTATGGGTAGTGGCATATTCTATCCTTTTTTAAATCTCACAATTTCAAAGAAAAAGAAACTACCTATTTCTCGATTATTTGAGCAAAGGTTTTAGGGCGGACCATGACTGGGATGACTTGGGCCTGGTGGATATCCCTGGCTCAGTCACTAGGGCCAGGGAACAGAGTTCTCTGATTGACTAGGCTGTGTGATGTGCACAGGCCTGTGGGAGACAGGCAGGTAAGGTGATGGACAGCTCCAGGGGGTGGGGACAGGGATCCATAAAACAAAGGAAGAGAAGGAGGAAGAATAGTTCGAAATGCACTTGTGCCTGAGTGGGGATAACCATGACTTTTGATAAGAAAAGGGCCATGTAAGAGGTCGGACAACTTGTGACCCGTGTTTATAACTAGTTCTACTTTGTGTGTGAAGCAGAGAGGAAAGACACGGGGGAAAAGACAAGGGGGTGTGACGAGTGAAGAAGACAGAGAAAAAAGCTTAGAAGAGCCTCTGCCAATTACCTGATTCACCCAGGTGGTTATTGCTGTTTCTTATTTGCTATAATTAAGGCATTTCTAAGGTGGGAGTTTCTCTCAGTTTCTCTCCTTCATTTTGCCTTTTAGGTGGACAAAAAGATTGTAAGAACTGAGATAGGAGTTCTTCTTCGCCTCTCACATCCAAACATTGTAAGTGATTTTTTAACTACTATTCCAAAAATCTCCAAACTTACAGAATGGGATTTGTGACCTTTGTACTGCCCATGCTGATCATGAGAAAGCGATTCTTCCACCACCAGTGAGCAGCCACAGTTGCCACGCTCTTGTCCTCGCTCGTCACATCTTTCAGTTCTTCACCTGAATAAATCTTAAAGACAGTACCTTTCGAAAGAGTTTTTAAAAATGGACAGATCAGCATATATTCCATCTTTATTTTCATGCGCAAAAGGATAGCTAAAATTCAGATTATTTTGTTTCGCTCTACTAAAACACTGGCTTTTTCCTTCTGCTGAAAAAGCCTCTGAAGAAAATGCATTGCTTTCCAAAGTCATTTCAGTCTCATCAGAGAGTGTATCTGCTTCAGAAACAATGTGAAGATTCAAATAAAGGATGTGCTTGGATGGGGAAATGGAAATATTTTCAGAAGCTCTGCTCTAGGCTACGTCCAGACAAAGGCACTGAGGGAAAGGTCTGGCGATAGCTTTCTGGAGCCACTGAAGTGAAAAGAACAGGCCAGCACTTGATTTTATGAATTGAACCAACTACTTAAAGAAGCCATTTTACTCATTTCTCTGAGAGAGTTGTGTCCAGGAGGGTGACCTGCAATGCTCAGGCCCAAGGCAAAGTGCTTGAACTTATTATAAGAGTTAACGATGCTTTTAGCTATCAAAAACAGAAAACTTGAATGTAGTGGTCTAAACAAATATTTTTCTTAGTTCATAAGAAACCAGAAGGCAGGCAGCCACCAGCATTGGTTGAGCTCCTCAGTGAGGCCATCTGGAGCCCAGCCCCTAGCACTGGTTCTGCCCACCTCAGGGCATTCACTATCACCCTCCTGCCTTTCCCTCATGGTCCTAAAACCACTGCCCCACACCCTCCACAAGCTGTATTCAAGACAGAAAGACGTGGAAAGACCCCATAAGCAGAGTCTAATGAGTAAAAGTTTTTCTAGAATTTCCAGCTGCAGCGGAATTCCTTTCAGATTTTATTGGTCAGAGCTGGCCACAAGAGCAAGCTGAACTTCACAAAGATTGGGAAAATGGGAAAAGGGTTGTCATAAGAGGCTCACACCAAACGTGATCCGTAATTTGAGTCTGGCACCTTTGCTCCCTAAACAAATTCAGAGTTCTGTTTACAATAAACAGGGGGAGAACGACTTTGGGTAAGCAATGAATCCAATTTGCCACATACAGTCACAACCTTTGCACTGTCCATAGTTTTTCCTTCAAAGTGAGTATAGAATTTTTCTCAAATGTAGATCAGCCCTATCACTAGATTCTCAGATGTATTGAGGAAAATATCCAAAATCAGATGGATTATCTCAATGTGGTGAAAACCCTCTTATGGTCAATCAGGTCATTGCCACTACTGCTTTTCTGAGGGTCCCTTCATCCCCCAGCAGCCTTTAGCAGCTGAGGGGTATATTTTCTACAAAGACACACTTCTACCTGGTTCTGTCCTGTCTTAGACTGCGATTCCAAGTTCCTCCCAGGAGAAGGAGGCATTTGCATTTTCATCAATCACGATGCTTTCAAATGGTTTAGGAAGTTTTGTTCCTTTGCTTTTATTTTTAAATTCTGCAGCAATTTAGAAATCAAGATATTTTGATAAAAAATTAGAAAGTGTCTCTAAGGTAGGTATCTTTCGAATGTCAAAAGAAAAAACATAAAAACTCAAAAGAACCCTTGAAGAAATGAGGTCACTGATAAAAATAACCAGAGTGGCAAATGGCTCCCCGGTACTTGCATAAGGACCTTTGTTGACGATGACCCAACATGTTGCTATTACAGAGTTTTGGTTTTGCCATAGCTTTAGCTATTTCTTAGAAAAGTGAAAGTAAGGAATTGGTGTGTTTTTTTTCTATATCTTTCTTCAGATAAAACTTAAAGAGATATTTGAAACCCCGACAGAAATCAGTCTGGTCCTAGAACTTGTCACAGGAGGAGAGCTGTTTGACAGGTAAGTTGGTCCCAGAAATCCAACCACAGGAAGGCTTCGCTTTGTCACCAAAAAAGAATCGAAGGGAAATTTCTCCTGAAATTTTTTATAATGACACATCATACCAATTCATACATTCTACTAAAATAAATCCTAAGAGGAGTATAGAATGGAAGGAGAGCGATAGCTGATCAGATGTGAGTGGACGAAAAGTTGGGGTGCTTGGTGAGCAAAAACAGAAAACACTGGGTCTGTTTACTTTGGCAAACATTTACTTCCTCAGTAAAAAAAACAAAAAAAAAAACAGAACTTCTAAAGTCATACTAAATCTAAACAGTCACATTTACGTAAGTATTTGTGAGAAGACATTGAATGAAAATTATACAAAGTTAAATGTGTTACAACAGTATCCTCTGTTAGGATCTAAAAGCTCTTAAAAATTAATACTCTTCAAATGATTATTTTGAGGCCTACTTTCTCCCTTAGGCTGTATAAAGAATTCCAAGATGCAGGAAAAAACATGTTCTGCTATATCCAATAATACCCAAGTTCAGTTGCCTGTTCCTATGTTCACCACCTCAGGCAGAGGTTTGAAGATGTCAGGGAGTGTGCCTAAGAAACCTGTAGAGTGTAGTATTGGCAAACTGTACAAGAGATAAAAGATTTAAGTCTCCGTAGCTTTCCCACCTTCCTCATCTTTTCAGGAGAATTCCCTGTTTACCCTGATGATCCCTTGGGACCCCTTTGCTATGTTCATTGGGGTAATCAAAAAATAATAGTAAAAATGGAATAAGTCATAAGACTAAGTTGGCATATACTAGAAATAGTAAGAAGCTATGCTCAGATGTAAAGGCCTTGTTGGTAAAAAAAAAATGGATTAAGAACGATGTGGACTGCAAACAGAAGAAAGATTGAGGGAACTGCTGATATATACTAATTGCCTGGAGCCCAGTAATTTCTCAGTAAATATTCACTGAATGAATGAATGAATGAATGAATGAGCAACTACTAAGATGAGTAGACTCTGAGAAGGAAGACATCTAAAGGGGATAGGTTTAGAGTGTTTTGGGAGAGGAGCACTTCTCCCCTTCATTCCTGCACCAACCCCACCCAGGTAAATTTGCAACCTCTTCAACAGCTTCCAAAGTATTTACATTGGTTTTCAAAGCTTCTGTTTTTAATGTTACCCAGTGCAGATTTGGATCTTCAGGTAGGAAGGAACAAAACAGTGGAGCTTGATTGGCACTACATATGTATCTTCAACAGTGTATCTATTCACTGCGAATAAAGGAATCAACTCAGGAAAGTGGGCATCCGTTTTTAAAAGTAGATGTATGCTTCTTCTGGCAATTGGCCGATGGTTAGACTCAAGGTTCCAAATGCTAACTTAAAAGGCAAATAACTAACCTAGAGTGATTTGCTTAATTTCTCTGAACCTCAAAACAAATTTGAAGTGCTCTGATGCTGAGGAAGCTGACACCGGTCCACCCTGTGTCTGATCTGAGACAGTCTGGGCACTCTGATTGTGTAAGGACAGTCTTGTTCTGGAGCCATCACGTTATGCCCCCATGCTTAGTGAAGACTCTTCTGGACTAACTGAATTGAATGTTCCAAATTTGCCAGCAGTGGCTCTTTTTTCAACATCTCTTTAGCTCACTCTTACATGAACATATTCCTCCTGTAGGTAGGTACGTTTAGAACCAATTTACACTCAGATCCTGCTGCTTCTGTAGAGCCATGAAGTCTCTCAAAAGAGAACTTATGTATTTCTCTGCTCACTACAGTCTATCAGAGAGAAATCTCATGTATTTTAATCGTAAGTAATTGCAGGACCAGGATGTCACCCTGAAGCTGTTGCCTACCCATAGCACTTACCATTTACCTACCAACCTCTGTTTGTTCAAATAATTTTGAGACTAAGGCTCTCTTTCCTTCCCCTCTTCCCAAAATTTCTTCCATGAAAGAATTCTGGTTTTCTCATCTCGTTGCCTAGTTGATTTTGATGGGATAGAGTTAATTCAGCTTTAGACAAAAATGAAAAACTAAATGCTGTTGATAAATTTCATTTACAGAGAAAGTGGATGAGATATTCAGAATTAACAGAATACATCTAAAGAGTGGCCGGCAGCCAGCAAAGCACTCAACCACTCTGTGAATGGCTCAGTGGTTTTAGACAAGAGACTGTTTTCTCCTCCGTGAATGTTGTTGTCTACATATCTGTTGCCATATCTGAGATGAAGTGGGTTTCTCCATTAAATTACTTAATTCTACCGTTATCTTTAAAATTATATCAGGCTGAAAATATATCCTGCATTATTATCCATGTATTGCTCTCTTTCTTGAGAATTAAAAATCATAATATATTTATTTTTCCCTGTACTTAGGTCAAAAAAATTTATTTCATTACGATGATGAACATTCATCCCTGGTCTAATGATGGCCTTAATGGTATCTAATGAATGAGCTAATGGAGCAATTGATGAAAAGATAATCATGTTAGCACATTATAGTCAAAATGGTTGTATTTTATTAGCACTAAAAGATCTATTCTGTGGTGCTTTTCAAAAACTAAACATAGTAAAAATCCAAGTGGAATCTGGTATTTCATATAGAATATAAATAGTACATTGCTCAGGACAATTGGTTAAAAGTTTTAAAATAAAACTGATTTTTTTGTGTGTCCAACAAAATTCCCCCAACACCCCCGAAAACCTTTACAGAGTTATAATATCGTGGGAAAAAGAAAGCTCCAGCCCTGACCCGTGTGGCTCAGTTGGTTGGGCATCATTCCATAAAGTACAAGGTCACCTGTTTGATTCCCCGTTAAAGCACTTGCCTGGGTTGCAGGTTCTGTCCCCAGCTGGGGCATGCACAAAAGTTAACCCATCGATTTTACTCTCTCACGTCCATGTTTCTCTCCCTCTCTTGCTCCCTCCCTTCCCCTGTCTCTAAAAATAAATAAGTAAAATCTTTAAAAGAAAACTCCAGAGGTTTTTCTCTTCCGTCCTGCTTGATCTGTTCAAAACTCTTAGAAATTTATCGAACTTTTTAAGTGTATGAGGAGTGAGGTTATTCGTTTTAAGAGTAAATTTTTGAGTTTGGTTTTGTTTTAGAAAATGGTTTTGTTTTAAGGCAACTAATTTAGCAATATCCTTATAATTTTCTAATTAAACTTTTCAAACAGACACTATTGTCCCTGATTTTTGTCTAACTCCAGTATCAGAACACTAGGGATTTTTAAATTGCCTGTTTTTTTCAATTTTCTTTTCATGTTTTTGCTTGCCTGATTATGCTGTTCAAATGCTAAATGTTATGTGTAAGAGGTCTTAAAATTTGTGGCTTTAAATGTTGTTACCTTCCAAAAGAGCAGAATTTGTTTGTGTTCCTCCCACGGGCAGTTAAGATAAGAAACCTGTCACTTTAATTCCATCATGTATTGGGCTGATTCAAACCTGGGCTTCCCAAAGGCTAATCTGTTTCTTGTCAACCTTACTCATAGGGGTTTTTGCTCTTAAAGGGTCCCAATTTAAGCCAGGGAATGTTGCCAGGCCACCCCTTCCTTGGTAGACCCTAAATGCCAATATCTGTTCTCTCCACCCTGTGAGACACAAGAAGTTTTGTTCAGCTTCAGCCTGTCGGCTGCTGAGTTAGAATCAGCAAACGCCTTTAAAAGGAAAGCAGAGGCATCAGGTGTTACTTTACCTTTGCTTCGCTGAGTTTTTCTTCTGTGCTGGATTCTGGCTCCTGAAGCCTTTACTTCCTCTGTAACTCTCTGATTTCTTCAAATATATTTTTAAGAATGGTTGTATTTAGCTTGTTATTGTTCTTTCCTGGAAGATTGTCTCCCCCACCACTGCTGACATAAAATTCAATGTCAGTGTAAGAACCTCCAAATTGTAAAAAACCTTTATGAGTTTATTTGAAACAAACAAAGGACACACCTAAAAGCCAGATCTCAACAGAGAAAAGTGCTTCCCCGAATGACAATTTGCGGTACATCTGGAATTCAGGAGGGAATGTAAGGAAGATTACATGAAGGTGGGAGAGATCAAGGCCAAGAATTCTCTATAATCGGATTACAGCATAGCTAACAAGATTATGTGCTCTCTTGAGGGTTGGCTATGCTTCCAAGGGGTTTGAGAAGGAGGCAAAGCAAAGGCGTGTCAATCTAGGTGCACAAAGACATTGGGCAGGTGAAGGTAAACATTTTATAGGCCTGGGGTGTGACTATCCACCACGACCTTCCCAGTTAGAAATTTAAGATCAGCTCACCCTGTGAGGCTACTTGCATCAAGATTGATTAGAGAACCCCTTTTTCATCCACAGAGACATATGGTTTTTAAAGTCCTTGTACAGACACTAGTGGATTTTCCTCTTTTATGTCAACCCTTTGGGGCAAAAAGGGTGGAAAGCACTGTCCCCACTACACAGACGTGGAAACAGAATGAGTAATTGTAAATGATCTTCCCAAGTGAGGCAACAGACTGTCTTCTACAACTCTTTGTCCTCATATGACCTTACAATTTTTCTTATTAAATCCATTTTTCCCTTTTAAATAATTTCCAAGAAAATGAATCATTATTGTTTATTTTATGTATGGAGAATTTATGCGGTATTGATTGGTTCTTTGCAAAGCTGTATATGTATTTAACCCACTTAATCACCCTTCAGTTTTTGTGAAGTATTATTCCTGTATTTTCCAAGAGCATAAACTGAATAAATTAATATGTTATAAAGTCAGGTATAGAACTCATGTTATCTAACTGCAAGGTTTTTTTTATTTCCCTAAATTGAAAGTATTAAAAAAAAAACTGCAAGTCATCAATACACAGGAAAAGTAGTGGTTATGTTTGGAAACTATGTATTTAGCCTATTAATTACCTGACAAAGTCCTAGTATATCAGTCTTAATAGTTATACCTACTCCAACATTCTGGGTTGAAATAAATGAATTTTCAGGATATTGTCACTAGAAAAAGATTTCAGAAAGAGAATTTAGGTGTTATTTTGCTTGTTTGTTTG